CCTTGGCCAGATTATGCCAGCTCCATGTCGAGTAACCAGGGTAGTCAGAGCTCACCCCCCAGGTTCCATAAGATCTTCTCGGGTGTCCTACCCCCAGCACTGCCTGCAACAACCACAGGGTAAGCAACTGGGGGGCTCACCTCTTCCCCCGCTGCTAGCATCATGCTTCATTGTTTGACTTCTCTGTAACCCCATTGGCATTATCTAAGTGTTAATCTCACTAACTTCCCTATGAAATAGATGGTTACCTAAGGGCCCTATTTTTCATATGATTTTGAAGGGAGATTTATTACCCCTCATCTACAGATGGACAAACTGAGTCACAGAGACCACTGAAGCTGAACTGGGACAGGAACCCTCCTCTCTTGTACCCAGCCCAGAGCCCTCACCACCAAGCCAGATGTGTGCTAAAATGAGAGGTGCTTTAGGAAAAAATGTCACAATGGTGGAAAGGTGTCTGAGAAGTTTGATGCTGTGATTGCACCATGGAGGTGAATAACTAAGGGATGCAGCCCAAGCATTGTGCTCTGCACAGATACTCTGGCCCAAAGCCCCACCTGCTGATTTGTGAGAAAAACATTGATCATGTCATGAGAAAAGCGTATGATGCAAGCACACAGGAGGCCACAGGTAAAACTCTCTGCATCTTTCATGCTCATTTCATGTATTTCTTGGTGCAATGCGCATGTTTGTGTATCTTTATACTATCGTGATATGAGATAGATAATATACATTTTAAAACTAACAGGAGAAAGTACATGTTTAGGCAATATGTAGTTAACTTACGGACTTCATTGCCATAGGAGGTGGTGGAGGCAGATAGCACAGCCAGGTTCAAGAAGGGACTGAATACATTCATGGATGATGGATCTATTAACGGCTATTGAACAGAATAGCTGGAGGTGTCTCCTCTGGCATCTCTAACCCAATAAATGGTGGGTGCCAGGCAGGATACTGAGTAGGGGATAGATCTAGACATACCCAGTTCAATGATCTCCCTGTACAGAATCCACTTCTGTCACTGTCAGAGATGGAATGGACCACTGAGTGACCCAATCTGACTCTTCTTATGTTCCTATGTTCATCTCGTGAAATATACTTATCATACCATGTGTGCCTGAGCTAGGATGCATCTGGAATACATACACTGTAATACCAACAAAGTCTTCCACCAAAAGGGGCAGAATTGTCTTCAAGTCAATCATGTTTCCAAAGCTGTAGTGTCATGTTATGATGAAGTGAACGTAAGGGAAAAATACAGCAGGACAAAATAGGGCCAGTGGCAGAGCCCGGAGCCTCCAAAAGCATCATGTGAAGGAGGAAAGCCCCAGGGGTTATGCAGCATCAAAGCCATGCAACAGTGGTTCTGTTAGAACAAGGGGAGTTTGTCCCAGAAAGTGAGATAGTGCTGGGGAGAGGAGACGTGCAGATGAGGAGACACAGGCAGCAAGACCAGTCATGGGAAAGGTGGTATGTCAATGGAGGAGGGAATGAGCCAGGCACAGAGACCCAGAATGTGTGTGCCCTCAGTCCACAGAGCATCCCTGGCACCTGCTGTGAGTCCCCTGTGCTTCCATCTCAACTTCACACATGCACTCAGAACGACACACAACCCCCCAGCAGACTCAGAGCAAACTGGTCTGTAGGGTTAGCCAATCCCTTCCATTGTGCCTGTAACCATTTATCTTCAGGGGATGGTAAAGCGCTTGCCTCTCCTTTTCCTATACTCCCCGCCCCAACCCCAGCTATCATTTCCATTTCCCCAAGAAGACTTTAATGAAATCTGCCCTTAATTAAATCCACATTCATTTGCATAATTACCAGGAAATTGAAATTAGCCTGTGGACGTGGCTTGAATACATTTAGCTTGAATCAATCATGAGTAGGATGAGGGGTGCATGGGTGATGTGGCGATGGGGTCCAGCCAAGCACAACATTCATTCTGGCCAGGGGGCCACGTATGAAGGGACCCTAAATTCCAGTCACAGCAGCATTGTCTATGCCCCTCTCTCCTGACCAGAAGCACTCCTGGGCTCCTCCCTCTGCTAGCCCAGTCCTGGGCTCATACATGGCTAAAATAGTGCCCTTCAGTCCTGACCCACAGCCCCAACCTACTGTACCAGCACAGCCCATTCCACCCTTGCTCTGTCAGAGCCCCTCACTTCTGGTTGTGATCTTCCATGTTGGCACTTGCCCCAGATGGATGGTGGTGTTGTGCTTCTGCTCCCCATCAATCTCCAGCATAGCCCAAGGCACTTGGCAGCTTGAGAGAGCTCAGGAGAATTGGCTCAGCTGTCACTAGGGCTGGACAAGCGACCATGAATACCCATATGAGCCCTCATGTAATGAGCCGGCCCTGGGAGACATGCTCAACCCCTTGCGCACACAGGTTCCACCAACCCTGGAACAACCCCTTGGACTGGCACCAAAGCTTGTGAGAAGCAAATTTCAAAACTGAGGGTTGAGGAAGCACGCCTACTGCCATCCAATCCGGAACAAGAACTGCACCATGTGACTTTATCAGACCAATCACAACCAAGGAGGAATGCTTGAATTTTGAATACTCAGTGCCAGCTTGTAGAGGAAACAACTGCAAAGGGTCAGTCTTCTGGTGGCTTTGAATGATGAATGAGTTGGAGCAAACAGCAAACTACTCATGGACATGGCACTGCCTGAGGAAGAAACTTTATGTGCTATTACTAACTCTCTAGTTCTTCAGATCCAGTGACTTCCAGCACCTCCCTCCTTCACTCCCCCATATATCAGGGGCAGCCCCTCATTCCTACAGGACCAAGTCAGGTGTTGGGAAGCCATGTGACTCTTATGATTCTCTGACTTCCGGCAAAAGCAGAGCTCAGGTGCATTTTCATACCAATACATGCTCTGCCCTGTGGAGCACTGGCACTGCTGGGTTAACCAGGGTAGCTAGATGAAAGATGTGGACAACAAGGGTTGCCCATGTCTGAATACAGACCTCAAAGCCAACCATTCTGCACCCCCTCCCCAGTTGTGGAGAACCAGCCAGCTGCCCCAAGGAAGCTTCTGGGGGAAGGAGTTTCTGAAGAGCTGGGAGGTGGGATGAGGTAGAAGGTGGCCTTCTCTCACTCTGCTCAACATGCTCAAGCCACCAGGCTCATCCTCCTTGCAGCTAGGCTGTTTGCATCCTCATAACTTTTCCTAGCTGGCAACTCCTGTTAGCCAAGAGGGTAGAGTGGAATGACAGGAATGAGAGAGCTTACATTGTCATTCCTATTTTGCTCTTGCTCTCTGATTGAGAGATGCTGGAGGTGTTTGGGCGCTAACTGCTCAGACAGAGGTGCCATTTCTGCTCCCAGTCTTCTCAGGAGCGTTGTTCATTAAATGAACTTCAAGGGATTCTTCCAAACTAGTTTTTCCAGTCTTATACAGCTTTGGACCCATTCTCTAGGTGAAGGTGTCAACCAGCATGAGATCAGCTTCCTAGAGACAATGCAGACATAATCTTGCCCGGTGCAAAGGCTTGCAGGTTTGTCTTGCTGCTCAGAGGTGGTCATCTGGACCTTGACTGGCTGTTGCTGACTAGAAGCCAGCCTGGTCTGGCTCACAGACAAATAGCTTTGGTCACCCACGTAGCTGAGTGAAGCGGGAAGCACCACACAACAACTGAATCCAGAGAAGAACAGGACAACTCCTTTCATGGAAGTTGGATGTTTCCTGCCTTTGGGATAGTCCTGGCTACCAGGGGATCCCCCTAGTACAACAGTATGACCTCAGATGATGTATTCCCTGGGTTACCCAGAAAGCTCTGGTTTTCCTAAAGTGTGTATGTACACCTAGCAGAGACATCATTACACTGTCCCAGCTGCAGTACAAACTACTGGCTGCCAGCCCTTCCCACTCCTGGTACCCCTATTCCTAACTAGGCCTTTTTGTCATGGCCCTAGAATTAGCAACTTTGCAGTCAAGGAGATTGGATGGCCCAGCAATGAACAGGGTCAAATCCCACTTGAAACTTTCTCCTTATGAAATGGGCTGTTGGTCTCAGGCTACTTTGCAATGGCACAGGAATCTACATCCCTTGCAATCACCACTGCACCTGGCTGACAGTGCCTCCACAAAGGCCAACAATTTCATAGATTTCATAGATTTTAGGGTCAGAAGAAACCTATTAGATCATTGTGTCCGACCCCCTGCCCTGGGCAGGAAAGAGTGCTGGGGTCACATGACCCCAGCCGGGTGTTTGTCCAATCTCCTCTTAAATACCTCCAAGGAAGGGGACAACTCCACCTCCCTTGAAAGCATATTCCATATTTTGGCTACCCTCACTGGAAAGAATTTTTTCCTGATGTCCAATCTAATTGAATGGGATTTGTGCCTAATGCATAGATGGAGACTTGGAAAATTTGGATTCAGTTACTAGCGCTGCTACTGACTTCCTGTGTGACCTTGGGCAAGCAATTTAATCTCTCCAAGCCTTGCCTCCCTGTAGGAAAAATGGCTATAGTATCCTTTTTTGTTTAGGAAAATGTAAGATCTTCAGGACAAGGTCACACAATTGAAGCTGGGGAAATTCAGGAGAAAAATGTTCTTTTCCTAAAAGAAATAAAATACTTAAAGTTGTAGAAAATTGAAAAATTGAAAACAGAAATACTTCTTGGGTCAAATAAAATATTACACTTGAATTTTGAGCTGTATAAAAATATGATTTTTTCTAAATAATGGGAATTTTGCAACAAAAAGTTCTGTCAGACTGAAAACAGGTCAGGCTTAAAATGCAGAATCTAGCTGTTTCAAATTATTCAGCATGGCTCATTTTTCCTAAATGAAAAAAATCAGCAAAATCTGCACATATTTGTAAACATTTTGTGGTCACCGAATTTTTGTTTCTTTTGCCCCCCCCCAACATAGAATGAAAAAATCTCACCCAGCTCTGATATCATGTCTTCATGCAGCATCTCACACAATGCTCTTAACTGGGGCCTCAACACATTACTGGCATGCAAATAAGAAGTGAAAATGAGTAGAAAGAAATACTTTGATTCATATTCAATGTAAAATAGATAACAGGTGAAACCCCATCCTTCTTCTTCCCTCCACAAAGCAAATATTGGGGCCTGGCCGATCTGACTTTTTTTAAATGATCTGTTCCAACATAGTAGGGAAAATGGCTCCATCCTGCACACATCTGTGTACAAACACACGCGCCTACATGCCCATCCCTAGGGAGTGCGAGTGATGTGTAAAAAAACTAAAAGCACTTCTTGGGCTAGATTGCACGTTGGTTCCCCCCACCCCACTCCCAGTGTTTTTAGTTTGTAGCAATTGTCCTCAATATAGAATTAAATAACACATTTAAAAACCTCCTTCTCACAAGTCAAAGCACTGCAAAGTATTTACAGACACGTCTTGTTCTCATTTTATTTTTGTTGTTTGCCTGGTTTCCCTGCTCCGGGAGGGGTTGGAAGGAGTTGAACAACAGTAGTTTTTAGTTACTCTTCATTCCTTCAAGTCCCCTCTGCAGGTGGACAGAGCTTATACACCTGACCAGTTCACAATGCTAAGTCACAACACAACCAAGGGATGCAGTGATGCTTCATCGGGGAGGAGATTAACAAAAAGATTCCTTTCTGCACTGATGCTGCTGTAGACAACTGATTCCTTTGGGAAGAAAAGGGAAGGTTGTTGAGCCTTTACAACTAAACTATCCTTCAATCTCTCTGCATTTATCAGTCCCTGACAGTGATTTGTGTGCATTTAACCAATGTATGCGACTAAGCCATCTCCTACTCGTGCCAATGACCAAACTACAACTGACTTCAATAGGAGCAAGGCAAAGGCCTCAAAAAGAGCTCTCCGAATTTTCTGGGCCAGTTGCTGGCATGTTGAATGTCTGGTGATGTCTGAAATCTATGCAGGCTTCAGTGCATAGATTTGCTTATCAGATACTGATCAAATAACTAATGATGTCATGAACTTCTGTCCTAAATGCTTCAACCTGCTGAGGATCACTGCCTATGTGCTGAGCTGAGATGGACCCACCCAGGACATTTCCACAGCACTGCTGCTGCGGTCTCATGCAGGTGTAAGGGGGTTATCTCCAGAGACAGCCTGCTCTTGGGAGAGGCCTGGCCACATTTCTGCTCCAGAGATGGTTCGCCTTAGGGAAGCAGCCCGCCACCCAGGAGTACTGACAGGATCCCAGGGACAGGTGGACAGAACTGCCGAAAGGTGGTTGTTTAGGGTGGAAGCCAAGGCCTCCTGCGTGTTGTTACAGCACTGTATTAAAGGCTGTATCACAGGTCAGGAAGGGGGTGATAGGGCATTTGCTTGGTCACCATTACAGCAGGCAGGGAAAGCGTGCTGGCTTGGCCAAATGATTTTCTGGGAAACTGCTATCTCCCTGCAAACCCTTTTCCACAGTGGGATCCCAGGCCCTATACTTTGTGGCATCAGTTGGTGTCAAGATGGGCCTACCCCAAGAGACAGGATTGCCCTGCCAGGGGTGTTGCAGTGGAGGGGACCAACACCTTACACTGAAGCAGCTGGGACTTCAGCAGGCAGGGCCCTGGGAGAGATGCGCCATGCATCACTCTGTGACCGCAGCAGTCATGTGAGCCAGGTCTCAGCTACTGGAGAAGGTCTGGAAGGGAGCAAAAGGACCAAGGGGAAAGCCTGCAGGGGGATTTTGAGGAGGGATGAGCATCTGAGCAGAAATCTAGTCAGGAGAGCCCCACAGCTGGATGGCCAATCTGGATCATTTGGCTACTTGCCCTTTACAGGTTTCTTCTGGCTCAGTTGCCTCAGTTATGACAGCCAACCTTTCACCAACAAAAAAACAGAGCAAACTCCTGTTTTTTTGCACTGAGTCATGGGAGGCCATGTGGTAGCCCCCACTTGGAGTCCCTCATAGTCCTGTCAGCTGCCTCAGCCATCACATCAGCAATCCTCCTCTCTATTGCACTGGCTTTGTGAAGACAGAGCTGCAGCAAGGCCACTAAGGAGATATGGGACTACGTGCTACTGGCAGATGAGAATGATCTTCTTCAGCTCAAGTGAAGAAAGCCTGGGCTCCTCGTGCCACTGCCCCAGAAGGATCTGGGACCGAAACCAGCTTCCCCAGTAACGTGCGTGTTTAGAAGTAGTAACAGTGTCTGTTGCGTGCAACATGTTCATACTTTACCATGTCCTCTGAATGATGCAACAAAGTGAGGTTATCAGAACCGGCCAAGAGATGACACGTTTTTGGTTGACATTTCACATTTGCCTGGAAAAATAAAATGTTTGCAAAAGACAAATAAACCCAGGTCCTGGCCTTTCAACCAGCTCAAGGGATCAGCAGGTTCTGAAAGCAAGAGCCAGCCCTTGTGGAAAGCTGATTATTTCTTTTTTTGCTGGAGGAAAATTTTCCTCTGAATAGGAGAGAACAAACACAACACTCCCGGGGGAAGCACCACTGCATCGTCACAACAGGAAATCACTTTTTATTTTTTTTTAAAAAAGGCTCTACTGCCATCAAGATTTTTTGCTTTTATATATTTTTGTTGTTTTTTTGTCATTTTAATGGGGTTTTTTTCTTTTCAACAGTGACAGAAACTGAGGTAACATCTGTAACACTATAACCTCTCCTACAGGGAAAAGGTCCGAAACCCGACAGCCAAGGGAATTTAAAAAAAAACCCCAACAGCCTAACAACAACAACAACCTCAATGGAAAAATATCACACACACACACACCCCCCTGAAAACAAAATAACTGACCAGAAAAATTAAAAAGGTCTATGTGGTGGTTTTAATTCCTTATCTACATTATTGCACGAAAGATCGAGGACACTGAGGGGCCTAAGGCAAAAAGGAGAAATTGCGGCTAAAATATCTAAGTCTGTGCAATGCTACTTCTAAAAAAACCATTAGCCCTGGATGCCCCAGAGCACAGTGGGGTGACACCAAGAGAGGCGAATGACTTCCATTCACCTAAAACACCCAGACGCGGACTGTGGAGATGGGGTGGGGCGATCACATCAGGGAGGGAGGGAGAGAGGGAGGGAGGAACTGCTGGGGCCAGTGACCCCAGAGAGGTCAGCGATATGGTGGTCAGCAGATGCTAGTCTGAAGGGTAGGAGAGGAGCTTCTTGGATGCTGTTCCTTCCTCACCAGGGACAGATATTCATTTGGTTGGATCAGTCCTGCCAGGGACAGAGCAACGGTCAGTCATACTAGGTCCCCTAGGATCCCATACCCAGAGGCCATTGACAATCACTACCAATGTTTCAGCAGGCTGAGGGAGGGAGGCCGGGGCTGAGTGTGTGCTATGATTAGTGATGGTTATACAAGAGATGCACCCTTGCTTTCCACTAGGATCCAGTGGAAAAGGCTGCTGGGCATGCCCCTGCGTACTGGGTGTGGGGTCTGGACCATGGCGAGCCACCTGCCCTGCATCTGTTTGTAAACTGCTGTTGCTTCTTAGTAGCATTATAGCCCTTTGTATGGTAAGTTTCAGAGTCCAGGAGGGAGACACTGTGCCCAGAGTCCAGATCAGAGGGAGGTGGGGATGGTGGGGGCACCCACCTATGCAGCGACTAAATTAGCCTACTTTGAGCTGCTTCAATCCACTCCCCTGCAGTAGTCATCTCTACAGCTCTTGAGGGAACACAGGCAGCTGAGCATAGCTTTAAGCCAATCAAGTCCTCATTAGGGCAACCCACAGTGGTGGGGCTGACCCTGACAGAGCTAGGACAGGTGGAAGGTCACTCAGTGCCCACATCACAAGCCACTAGGGACATGTAGAGCCAGTTGTACAGAGAGGACTTCTCTTTACTGCAGTTAGCCCAGGCCCTCACTCTGAGTGACCCATGTCCACATACAAGATTTGGGACCCTAATATTATACCACTTTACCCCCTGGCTAGCTGGCCTTTCTGAGCTAAACCTAATGTGTTTAAACCCATACTATATTATGAAGATGCCAACATGGAGGGTCCTCTGGCACATTTCCAGTTTCCCAGCCCCAGAGAGACCAAGTTCTTTCCCAACTCACACCTAGAAGTGGCTAAACTCCTGGCAGATATAAGAACAATGGGACAGGCCCCCAGAGGTCCTGGTGACATGCAGAGAGCAGTGCAGCACTCGTATGGACTCGCTCAAGTAGACACACTCAAGTCTGGCAACTCAAACCCAAGTTAAACCAACCTGGTGGCTCACTTCAGAGCATCAACCCCCTGAGGAAAAGTTGCCATGAAGGCAAATCCTGCAGCGTAGGGCAGAGGGAAGGACGAAGGAACATGTCAGATCAGTAATGACCACAGAGGTGACTGAACTCCACTTGCCTGGCCTGGATTTTTAGTCCCTGATCCAACAGGATCCCTTTGGTACATGTGCCTGATTAGGGTAGTGCTCAAGGAAAGAGTTCAGCACCCAGCCCCTCTGAAGCCTCAGGTCAGGGAAGGAGCTGGGAGACAGCAGTCTGGAGTGGCAACTCCCTGCATGTCCTGTTCCCAGGGAAAGCCAGAGCCTTACACACAGGCAGATAACACCCCTGAAAGACATGGGAAGGGCTGGCTTCCCTGCACAGGCACTTCCCAATAAATAGCTCTCACTCCCACAGGCCTTTCCTAGATCTAGAGCACAAGCACACATCAGTCCAATCCACCCCCAGTGCTGGATATCCTTCTTTGAGCATAGCCACAGCAACACTCCCCTCGCCCCATTATCCAGGCAGGTTCCATGGGGCTTGCTAGGGCCATCCCGGGCAGTGCGAATCAGGGCAACCACCCCAGACCCTGTGCTTTGGGAGGTCCTGCAGAGCCAGACAGAGCGGCGCAGCAACTGCGCTGCTGCCTGCTTCACGTCCAGCCTCTCAGCATCCCTTCCCCGCCAAATCTGCTGCCAAACCTGGCACCTCTGGCCACTTGGCCCTCCCCCTACTGAATCAGCCGCCAGCTTCCTCGCGTCTAGGGGCAGGGCCCCGCACAGGCTGATTTGCCCCAGGCCCTGCACCCTACTCGGGTCGCCTCTGAGGATTGCCCTTCATCTGCTCATCCAAACAGAGGTCACTCTGGCCTCAGATTAAAGATTTGGGAGCTCACACACAGATGTCCACATGTGCATGAGCGACTGCACATTCCTTACACATCTCACTCCCATATGTGCATTGCATGTCTAACACACGTATACACTTGCCTACACAGGTGTGAAGCTACTCCACTGATAAACTCCATAAGGACAATCTCTACTGGGGCTTCGACATTACTAAGGAGCTGGATGGAACCGCCATCCCTTTGCAGCCATGCGAGTAGCAGCAGAGCCACATGTAAACACATGGGCTGAGAGCAAGGAAGGGATCACAGTTCTCACCTTCTCTCTCATGCTAGGGGAATAAGGGGCCTGTACGCACCCAGGGCTGTTAACCTTGTGACTATGAAAGCAAGGTGACTATCTCAGGGGGTTGTTTTCATACCGTTTCCAATTCTTGTTACCCAAATACCTACAGCTACTGATCTAGATATGCCCATACCCCTAACTCATAGTTTCTCCCTGAGGCTTCCATGGGCATGGGCTGGGCTTCCAAGCAGAATCCCTATTATGTGAGGCAACTGCAGCAGAGAGTGCTGTGCTGGGCCCCACCACAGAGCTAGAAGGGCAGCCAAACCTGGGCCAGAAGCTGCCTAGTGGCTTCACGTGGTTGGTTCAAGCTGAAGTGCCCCAGAGCAGCAGTGCCCACCCAGCACAGCCTCCTGCTTCACAGCTATCTCCCTGCAGCCCCATCCAGCCTTTTATGTCCCCTTTCCCAGCTCCGGCCTCTACTATGTGTCACCCAAAGCTCATCTGTGCATGGATCCCACCACACCTGCCAGAGCCACTGACTTCCTGCTCTTTCCCATCACCCTCTACTGTTCTACTGCCTCCAGTTTGTCATGGCAACCATCAAGATGCTTATCAGTTTTCCCTCCTCACACTGGGGTTGGGGAGAGGTCTGCCTCCTTAGAGTGCTACAGTGCCAGAAGGTTGAGGGAGCATGGTTCCCCCCTACCCTCATCTAGTCCTTATGCAAAGAGTATATTTTCAAAGGGATGACTAAGAGGTGCAAGAGGGTACTTGGGGTGGGAAGGGTAACAGCAAAGACAAAGAGGTAGGGGATGGTTGGAGGACCAGGGACCTCTGGAGATGCTTGAGCTGTCCTCTCCAAGGTTCTTCAGAAGCTGCCAAAGCAGGCCTGAAGGCAGAAACAACAAGTAGCTTGGTTTACAGTCACTGGGTATGCAGATGTATGCAGCCCAGCCTGAAATGTTTATGCAATTTTTTTTGCAAATTCGACATTGGTCCATTTGAGGATCCCATCCAGGCAAGTTTGGCTGTACTAACCCCCATGCCAATGCCTATGGATTGCTGTGGGAACCCAACCAAGATGGCTTGCTCTGGTCTGATGTCATTTATCCTGGCTCCCCACTTGGGTTCACCTCCTCCAGAGGGGCAGCCCCCTCAAAACCAGCAAGGGCCTTCTAGCCTGGGAAGCTAGTGTAAGGCCAAACCTTAATCAGGGTCTGTAACCACCCCTTATCCTGATACATTAGGGGTAGGCAATTATTTTGGGTGGAGGGCTGCCTACTGAGTTTTGGCAAGCCATCGAGGGCTGTATGACAGGCAGCCCAGGGCAGATAAATATTAATTTTCTAAATTTTTTAGGGGCCTTGTGGGCTGGATAGAATAGCTTGGCAGGCCACACCCAGCCTACAAGCCGCATTTTGCCCACCCCTGTGGTGTATCCACTCTGAACAGAGATGGCCTGGCACTGATTGCCAATAAAATCATGTCTTACCACTACAGCCATCAAGGAACACACTGAAGCTGTGGCTCCCCAGCTGCCCATGTCCCTCCAGTGAAGATAGGACAGGTTCATATCAGTGTCCCTTACAAGGTATCAGCCTTTGTCTACCTTGACCTGTTCCCCAAATTGGGGCCTGGTTCCCAAGTTGCCCACAGGGGCTCGAGACAAAGGATGCTCCCTTGTAGGGTGCTGACAACATGCCAGCTGGGCACAACAAGCCCAGTGCACGCAGACACATAGGAACACGACACTTGCTACATTGGTGGACACTGAGTGCTTCCCCCATTGGTGCAGAGCAGAGCCCTGTGCGCAGGAAGCTATCCCAGAATCTGTTGGCAGGAAGAGGAGCAGCAAGAGCTGGGGTTGCCCAAGCCCAGCCCTAGAATAGATGTGGGAGAGGCCTTGTCTGGGCCGAGACCAGCTCACTGGATACCACGGCCAGCTTCCCTTTTCAGACAGGATCCCCCAGGCTTATTTGCTTCCTCTATCTCCTGCCATCCATTATGGCCTCCCTCAAATAAGAGCCAGGATGGCAGTGAGAGTGCATGGGCAGGTGCAATGGGTACACCCTGGCCCAACTCTTAAACAACAAAGACTGGTAAACACCCCCACCTCCTGGAAAGCCTCCCCCATGTCCTGGGGTCATCAGCCTTCCCTCCCTTCTGGGATGCTTCCTTTTCCCCCATCCTACATGTCCACCTCTCCAGCCACCCCCATGAGGGAATCACACAAGGGTCTTGGAGACTGAGCCAGTGCAGGAAGGGAGCCAGCAAGAGTGAGGGCAGGTGTGGGATGCCAAGCTGCCACCATTCCCTGTGTGCCTAGTCTGTAGTTAAGCCCTGACCTGAGCCCAGATTTCTAACCATGGTCAGTACATGATTTACAGGGCAGGGAGAGTGCCCAATTTGCATATCAAGCCCTGACCATGACAGGTGCCCTTGGGAACCTAAAGAATCCCAGGTCTGCTGCAGCTCCACCCCACACCGCTCCCCACCCACTATAAGCCTGCACAATGGCTGCCAGACCACACATGCAAGACCCAATGCCATTTCCCTTCCTCCCACTTCTGTCCCACCCTCTTGTTCTCCCCCTGCTCTCATTTTGTTGTTTTGGTGAAAGGTCCCACCCACCCCCAGAAACAGTAGGACTGTTGGCTGTCCCGTGCTCTGTCAGCCCAGCAGAGGAAGGGCACGTGCGGTGTGGAGAACGCAGGGAAGTAGCCCCGCTCTAGTTGCAGATGGCGTGAGGAGGAGGGAGCTCTGAGCCACCAGGCTGTTCATGGTCCTTCCTGGCAGCCAGTCTACGCCCCCTCTGTTGGGCTCCCGGCCCCCAGTGTCCAGTCTACACTCTGGCCTTACCTACAGTGGATGGATATATGTAGCATCCTTAGTATTATTGAGTTATTGTTAAGTTTTTTGTTTGTTTGTTTTTTTCTTTGGGAGACATGGATCCTGGTCCCTAATATAAAAGGAATTCCCTCCCCCATCCCCCTTTGCCAGAGGGGTGGGGGGCAGTGGGACTGACATCATGTCTGCAGGCTGTACAGAGCAGAGCCATGCCATGAGGACTGTGACCCCCCCCATTCCTGCCACCTCTCATCAAACGCAAATCTCTATTGCTGTGGCCAGGACCATCTGCCCTTTGCCTTTGTCTTGCCGGCCATCTGTCCTCCCTGTTCCCCCTGGGGAGGACAGGCCTGGCTCTGAGGTGGAGAGCCGAGGCCCGCTGCCTTCCGTCAGGATGGTCCTCTTGAGTGGGGTGGGGGTACAGGAGCTGGGTGTCTCATGGCGGTGAGAGCCAGATGAGAGCTTGTCACCAGCATGTTTGCGGGAGCGGTAGGAGGGCCTGCGGCGCACCTCTGACATCAGATCGTACTTGATGAAGTAGAAGACCTCCTTGACAGGGCAGCGTTTCTCGGGGTCCAGGGCCAGGAGGCGTTGGAACATGCGCAGGGCATTGTCTGTGAAGCGCCTCCACTGGGAGGGCAGGCCGGCCAGGCGCCCCTTCTGCCACCGCACAAACTCCTCAAAGAAAGTGTCCGTGGTGGAGGCTGCCTCCCAGGGAAAGTTGCCAGTCAGGACACAAAAGATGAGCACGCCAAAGGCCCACACATCAATGCTCATGTCCACAGTGAAGCCCTCAGCCCGGCCGGCCTGGCAGACCTCGGGCGCTGTGTAGGGGATGGTGCCACTGATGCGCTTCACCCGGCAGCCCACCTTGCGTGTCATGCCAAAGTCAGCTAGCTTGACCCGGCGGCAGTCACGGTCAAAGAGCAGTACGTTCTCAGGCTTAATGTCCCGGTGCACCAGGTTCTTGCTGTGCATGTAGTCCAGGGCCAGGCCCAGCTGCTGCACACAGCGCTTCACCATGTCCTCAGGGAGACCCACCTGCAGGGGTACACACAGAAAAAGCATTAACACAAGTTATAGGAGGCCTGGGGGATTTTCTGCACTCATGATGCTGGGGGCCCAAGGACTGGCAGCAACCTGGTCCGATGCTCAGAACACTTGGAGTATTCCACTGTCCTCCAGGGCCCAGGCAGGGAGCAGCAGGGAAGCAAGCTGGCCCAGTGTGAAGGCAGTGGGAATCAAGCCACAGAGTTATCAGAGCTGAGGAACGAATGCCACACTGGCTCTCCTGAAGACTGCCCAGGCCATCAGCCCCCTCAGATGGCACGAGTGCCACATTAAACCACCTCCTGCTGCCTCAATATGTCCTCACTCGGGTGGAAAAGCATCACAACAAAATGGTTTGTGCCCGTGCTCCTGATCACTCGGCATGACTGAGCTTGCCATATCTAACCCTCCCTAGCACTGCCCAGAGTGGGCCTTCCACACCCCATATCACTTTTGCATCTCTTTTCTAACTGGTATCTATGTAGGAATGAGATGCTCACACTGGGCAGCCTTGGCTGTCCTCTGCAGCCTGTCTCCTAACAGACCATTATGTCTCCTTCACGTCTCAATCTGATTTTCTGCTTCCCAAGTGCCTCACAGGTGGAAAGTGAAGATGAAGCTGCTGAGATGCATTTGTCAGTAAGGACCCTGTGCTTACATGAAACACCATTTCTAAGGGCTCCTCTTGGGAGGGACAGAGAAACTCTCTCAGCATGCCAAGCACTTTGGGGATAAGGAGACTGTGGTTAAATTGTTTCAGGCCATGCTTTCAGGGCACAGCATGTAGAAGCAAGTGCAAAATAACCTGGTACTGCCTTCAATTCCCATTTTTCCCTTTAATGGCATGAGGTTTTAGGCTGAAGCATCATTGCTTCCCACATGAAAGGAGGAAAATGTCAGACATAGAGGATATGAGGGGTAGAACAAGGCTACTACAGGGAAGCACAAAATCTCTGGCAAAGACCCCTGGTCCCAGGAGCCAGACTCAGAAGCCAAATGGTTGCAAGAATTCATTCAAGAGTTTCTCCCTGAAACAGACCAAGTACACAGCAAGTAAATTTGGAAATATACCTCAGCTTCTCTTCCTCCTCCTCCTCCACCCTGGGACTCTACTGATTTCTGGTTCTCCCCCACACACCATCAGCTGGGAATTACCAGGCATAAGGTAGAGATGGAGGTGGATGGGCTAATTTAAAGAAGAATTAAAGAGAGTTGGGCTAAGGTGTGGAGGAGAGATCACGGTGATCAGGCAGGAGCAGCAAAGGGTTTCATGAGGAGAGATAAGTGTTCAGGGAAGGTAGACAAAGTGGAAGTGAAGAAAGGCTCAGTATCAGGAGAAATACTTTGGGTACTGAGGCCCATGACGCTGTGCATTGAAAGAAATAAAGGCAGCTTCATTATTTGAGACATTTAGTAAAAACCAAAGCCCTAGAGAACAATCCTTCACTGCCCCATCATGGGTAGGGGGGATGAGATGAGCCAGGTGACCCTTCTCCATCACTAGCTTCCCCAATTATAGGGGAAGGACCCTGTCCACAAGCTAGGCGGAATTTTGGCAACCATCTTTCCCTTGAAAAGGAGTCAACCAACGGTTTCCCTCCCTCTCATGCCCATGCCAGGCTGCTTAGGTGGGGCTGTAGAGTTCAGCAGTAGCTGGGCCCCAATGTTTCTTTTCCTCCAGAGGGTAGAGTCCTGAGCCCCAGTTCTGATGCTAACATAAGCCTGGAGGCAACAGACCCCATCAGTGGTGTAGGTACAGTGGGGATGGGCAGGAAGAATGATTTCCTGGATTGTCATTTGCTTGACAACCACCACCTGGTCCCTCAGCAGACCATGGCAAGGTGTTCCTGCACAGGGCATGCCCCCAGCAGAGGGGGTTACAGCAGGGTGACCCCCCTGCATCAAAAGTCCCAGAAAGGGTGGTGGCATGGAGATTTTCCCCACTTCTACAAAAACCCGTGTGTGCCCCTGGAACCCATCCCCTGAGGACACCTCAGACAGGAGCCAAGAGAGACAGCACCCCTGCCCTCCCCTGAGCCAAGAGCAGGAACCAGTGCCAGCCTCACAATAGTCACAACTAGGGAAGGGGGCTCAGGATTCCCACTGGTGCTAGATTTTCCTGGGTCACCATGAGGAGGACATTTCAAGGACTCACCCCCCGCCATGCTCACACCCTGCCTCATCCTTGTTCCACAGCACCAGCTGAGACTACATAATCACATTTCCTTCTATGACTTTACATAAGATTTCATTACACTTCCAATTCAATTATGTCTAATTATATTTGGTCGTCCTTTCTCTTTCAATTCTCTTGCAGCTCTTCCTTTTCATTCCTTTATTCTCCCCTCACCCCTTGTTTGTTTCAGCACAGAAGGACAAATGTTTGCTGAGCAGGCAGAGCCACATCCATCCATACAGCTAGGTTCACCATCATCAAAACATGATCAAGAACCCCAGGCAGTCTCTTTCTCCTGAAACCTCCCTGTTTTTATTAGGATAATGAATCAGAGTCATTGATCTCTTATCTTCAACTACCACCTTTCTGGATACCAAAGTTCTTTGGAAATGCTGGAGATGGGGAACACTTCATCCACTGCTGAAATTGCAGCTCACTCTGGAGCTCAGCATGTCAATGTTTTAGCAGCACTGAGTGTTAAGGGTTTGGGGCAGTGAGCAACATATTGTGTCCAACTGAATCTGCAGAGAGTTTAAGTTGGAAGACTGCACTAACCTAAGGTAGTATGCAACAGCCTTGCTCTTGTAGCAGCAGCCATGGGCTCAGTAACAGGCAACAAGTGCTCATGGGCTCAGTTCACACCTCATCTAAATGCAAAGTGCCCCCAGGAGTGACACCTCCCTGCAGGTGTCCCAAAGCGATCTGCACTTGGGATGTTCACAAGCAATAGCTCCCCATTCACTCTCACAGGTGATTGTGTTACACACTCACCTTGCCCAGTCAAAGTGTCTCCACAAAGGGGAGAACCAGACCAAGGTACTCCTGAATGGGGGTAGCAGGAAGTCTCCCTTCCACGTAATTGCCAGAGCTGAGCCTCCTTAGTCTGCCAGCTCACATGAGGACAGATCTGTCTTTTGCTCCTAGCTCTCAGAGGGGCAGGGGAAGGGATCCTTGGGCAAGAACATCCTTGTGAGAAGGGAAGAGGGCAGGGTAGGTGGGGACAGTTTTAAATAAGGCCCATAGGCCTTAAAAGAACAGGCCCTGAGATGGCTCCAGGAGGAGGGAGGGAAAGAGAGAGGACAAACAACACCTTCTGAGGCTCCCCAACTGGTACCTGTGGTGGGATGATGTCAAAGAGGTCCCCTCCGGATGCATACTCCTGCGCGAAGACATAGCACTCCTCTGTCTCAAAGACTACATCAAAGACCTTTATGATGAACGGGCTGGAGGAGAGTGTGTTGGTGATGCTGAATTCCCGCAAGAAGTTCTTCAGCTTCGTCTTACTCTTGTTCACAAACTTCAGTGCCATCTTGGTGCCTAGGGGGGTGAAAGGGTAGAGGGTACAGCTCAACACACAGACGGCTTCTGCCAAACCCATTGTGGGGAAAAGGGTATTGTAGCCCCACAGGGTTCCCCAGAGGCACAGACCAGTCCTCCCAGAAGAGTCAACTGAAGAAGTTCCTTCTGGCCACTTTGTGCTGCTCCCCATGCCAGCCCAACTCTGTATGACCTTGGCCCTGGCCTGTCCCACCCCTGCCTGCTTCCTCTAGCTGATACCAGACTTTGAACAGAAGGGCTGAGGTTGTGGCCAGCTTCTGTGCAGAGATGCAAGGAGGGAGGGCTTCTCACCTCCCACTCAAAAGCCTTCACCCACTATAACTATCCCCTGTCACAGTGGGTTCCTGCTGAGGTTCTTTTTCATGGTCCCAATGGGCTGAGAGCAGCCCACAAGTACCATGTCTTCTGCATGAGGTACTGTGCAGAAAGAAATGCTGCAGCCTCAGCACACCTCAGAGCATGGCCTGACCAACACAGCAGGGTCCAAGGTGTGTGGGCCTGCTAGGGAACAGTCAGTGAAGTGGCACAGAGTGAACCCATGCAGCTGCAGGCCAAGGTGGGAGGGGACCAGCGACTCAGACCCACTGCCCCCCTCTGACACCCAGAATTAGGAGGATGCTCCCTGGCTGTGTGGCTGTCCCAGACTTGCCTCAGCTGAGAGGTAAGGACTCTGCCTCCCTCATCCTAGTGCAGTTTCCACAAGTGAAGCCTTTCTGCTCAGGTCTACCTTGTGAACCTGGGATGTGGCCTTTATTAGGCAAGGATAAACCCCCTTCAGATTCCTTCAGAGAGGTCAGGCCTGGTCAACACTAACTGAAGCTGAGGCTGAAGAGGGGGCCTCAGAATCATAGGAAACAAGGGTTGGACGGGACCTCAGGAGGCCACATCTAGTCCAACCCCCTGCTCAAAGCACAACCAGCCCCAACTAGATCATCCCAGCCAAAGCTCTGTCTAGCTGGGTTTTGAAAACCTCCAAGGATGGAGCTTCCACCACCTTGCTGAGTAACATGCTGGGGACCAATTCATCTGAGCCTCTTGGCTCAAAGATTTCCACAGAAGCAGGCCTCCCAGTGAGTTTCCCCACAATCCCTATCACTGGCATGGTGGCGAGGGGGACGGGCTCTGTACTGCCAGCCTGCACCTGCCAGGAGTCAAACCTATGTGTAATAGGAGGGGGAACAGTCAGGCCTCTCCCCAAACCTCAAAGGCCTATCTTTCTTCCAGGAGAAAGCCTCTCATTCCTCTGGGATCCTACAGATACCAGTCCATTGTCCCACTTCTAGTACCTGTGAAGTCTGTTGGATAACTATGCCAACACTTTTTCCATGGGATGATGCTGTGTACTCTGCAAGTTAACAACAGCTTATTCAAGTTAATTGTCAGTCATTTCCAGGACCATGCTGTCAGGCTATGTCCTCTCCCTGGCCACTGAGCAACAATGTAGCTCAGGAGGGCTACACCTGTAAAGATTTTTGTCCTGGGTTTTGACTCTGGATGAATGAGGACAGCCTAAAATGAGAGATCTGGTTACTGCCCAATAGGCCTGGCCTGTTTCTCAGACAGCTAATAGTCTCCTGGTCTATAAGGTTCACACCCACCCTGCCTTCTGCCTGAATCTCAGGTGGCTATGGCAGCAGTGCCACCTACTCCCTTCTGCTGGTCGCTCACACCAGCATGCTCAGCACCCTGACTACCTGGGCACTGCTGAGCTGTCAGCATGCTCTCCTTGCCCACATACTACCTAACCACTACTATTGGTACCAGCCTTTCAAACCTGCCTTTTAACCATTTCTGGTCTTCATATAAATCCTTACACTGAGCAGCCCTGGACAGAAGGGCTGTGCTGGTCAGTCACTGCTCCATGAGGCCCTCTGAGGATGCAGTGTGGCTCTGTGCTCCACTAAGGAGCCCACACCTGGTCAGCACTAGATATTCTCTACCCCTACATACATGTACCCCCAAGCCCTACACCCCAGCATGTCAGAAAGTCTATACTCTGGAATGCCCTGCACTGCCCTATGCATCCCAGTATCTCTGATGCAAAAACCCCATATCCTTCCATATACCAATGCCATAAATACCCATATCCTAGTCTACATCCACACCCTACAGTTCACCCTCCTGAGAAATCAGCCCTCTGATCCATTAAATTGAGCTGCACCTGAAGTGAGTCAGCATCTGAAAGCCCGTCTCCCATCATCTACAGGTGCACATGCCCAGGCCTGGGTTATCCTGACAGTGCCACCATGGAAAGCACTAGCTCAGACAAGATGGTGGCAGCTGCTGCTGTTTCAATGGTAACATATTTAGACTGACACCAAGTTGGGCTAAATATTACAAGGGATAAAATTCCAAGGGCCTATCTATACTACACATCTGGTGGTTGCAGAAGAAACTAGTGCAGCAGAGATATAGATCTACTGGTGCCATGTACCATCACCTTTCAGCAGTGCCAAATACTGTCCAAAAAGTGTACATCATGCATGTGTATCTAGAGAAAAGGTATGTCCTGAGTATGCCTGTGTAAATGCTGGGGTGGAGCTATACATGCAAGTGCTCCCACATGATACGTCATTGATAGACTATGCTCATGGCAGCTGTCCATGAGGCTGTCTTTGGAGGCAGGGATTGGGCCAGTGCAAGGGGGTAGACAAGAAAGCTGATTTCTAACTATACCAAGGGCAGTGGGTGCCACACAGGCAATTCAGACATTGATATGGGTAGACAGAGTTTTCTCAGCTCTGTTATACCAACCCAGGTCACCTGGCCTGGGGCAGCATCCTCATCAAAAGGAGGAGTCCCAGGGAAAACAGAGGGCCAGTGATCTACAGCACGAGGGGCAGGCTGTTGGCAGCAAAGTAGGGGGCAGGGGGAACAGAGCATGGTACAGGGGATGGAGAAGGGCACAGAAGGAAAACTGGCCGTGAGAGACCTACCATCAATGGGGAACAGAAAAAGAGAGTGCCCATGAAGCCCCTGTCTGGGCTCATGCCCCCACCAGCACCCATATCAACTCCTCCCCAAGGGTCAGATTATGAAGGGATGGGCCCCTGGAACTATGGAGAAGCTAAAGGGGAAGGGTGAGGGGGAGAGATAAAGCACCCAGAGGCAGAATCAAGGAGAGAGACACCTAGGTAGCCTGTTGCGAGGGGAGGGAAGAAGATCTTTCAATGAAGACCATGGACAAAGACTTCCAGGCCCAGTCATGCTACTGTCCTGCCCACCTGATACTTCACCACCCACCTACCATCCTCAGTGCCCACCTACCAACCTCACCCACCTACCATCCTCAGTGCCCACTCCTCTTACTTGCTCTCCTTTCTCAAATGTATTGCAATCTCCAGCACAGAGCACATGCTGCCTTCCCAAGGCCAGCTCCCTTGGTCATCAAGAACCAGGCAGGAATATCAGCCCTTCCACCGGTCATCTTCTCCCCCTCAGGACTGCCACCAGGAAGAGTCTCCTGGGTGTCTCTTAGTGTCATCCTAGTGTGGCCTTCCTCCCTCCAACCCAGAAGGAGAGCAAGCCTGGATAACTGAGTTCATTCCCCTATGCCATTAAAGCTGAGCTGGCCTCACCTGTGCTTTTGTGGGACACGAGATCCACTTTACCGTAGGTGCCCTTGCCAAGCTCACGGATGAGATCATAGTGCTTGTTGATGTCGGTGCCCGAGAGGGTGCGGATGGCCAGAGACTGCATGTCCTCAGTGATGAGGGGCACCCCGCAGCAGGCCAGCTTGCGCGACGGCTCCTGCTCAATGGAGCCTGCACTCATTGTTGTGCTGCAAGAAAGAGGCATAGTCAGAAGCTGCACCTGACACTGCAGTGCCCAGCAAGCCCTGCCCAACTTGCCCTGCAAGGGGGCTGTGATTTGCATTCATCACCCATAATGTTCTGCAGCAGGATAGAAAATTAGGGGGGGAAAAGGGACATTTCCTGCTGGAGACTGCTACCGATTGAACAGGGAGCCCAGTGACAATAACAGCAATGGGGGCAAACCCGCTAATAGCTTTGAAGTGGAGTTCAATGTGTCTAAGGATGGTGTTGTAGCTTGTGATGCCTTACAGTGGGGAATCAGACTCAGTGAACCAGTCCTAGACAACGGAATCAGGCTGTCTGGCAACAATGCTCATTAGGGTGTAGGCCACAGCTACTAGAGTGACAATCTTCAGCCTGCACTAGGTTGCTTGCAGTATTATGTCACACTATAAATATGATATAGAAAAAGTGATATAGTCACTGAGTAGTGATGCTATAAATACACTGTGATCACCACAGTTATCAGGTTGTCATCAAGTCACGCTATAGTTCTGCAGTGATAGCATAGTTCATGGATTATTAGGTAGTCTTGCCATAGCTGTGCAGTCTGGGTAATTAGAGTTGTGCCACAGTCACTGTGTAGCTGCACTGTAGTTACAATGCAGTCATAGTGAAGTTGGGCTGGAGCTGCACCATGATCACTGTGTTGTATTACTGCTGTGCTAGGACAGTTAGGTGGTAGCTAGACTGCAATCACTGTGCTGTTGCATGGTTATAAAGCTTTTTGTACCCTTAATTATCACCAGTTCTTGTAAGTGGAGTCTGGACACGCCCTGAAAACAATTCCAGTGTAAATAACATGTAATTAATGTATCTTGAAGCTAAAACATACCCATATTAAGTATGAGACCCAAGTTGTAACCATCAGTAGGAGGCTGCTTAAACCAAGGAGGCTTAAACAGCCAGGCAGCATGCCCCATAGGATTATGGGCACCATAACCCCAGTGAAAGTGGGGGTGGGGAACATAGGAGTCTTACTGTGCCTTCACTGCACTCTTCCCTAACAAGTATCAGCTGAAGCATCTTTGGTGTCCCATGGGTTGCAAAATATAAGTGCAGGATGTGCATATGAGAGAGAGCAAGTGAGTGTAGTCTTCCCTCAAGCTTTGCTGGCCCATGGGTAACAATACCGGCAGGAAGTCTTGGCTCCACTATTCACTGGATCTCACAGAAAACTTGAGATGGCATCTTGGGGATGGTGTCTATCTTGGTGCTTTCACAGTCCTGGGCACCAGGAGCACAGAGGCAGCTTGCAACAACACAGCAGCAAATACTCCTAGGAAGAGCTGTTAACAAACCATGTTGGGGCCTAATCTAAACAGTTTCTGAACCGCTGCAGCTGTACGGCTTTAGAAACAGATACACCTAAACTGGTTGCTGCCCCCATGGAGGGAGCCACACCACAACAAATGCTTAAATTAGGAACAGCTATCCCCACAGAGAAAGCAGAACAAGCTCCGGTGGTGGAAGGCCCTTTTTACAGTGTAGCCGTGTCCATGCTAGGGGCTGTACCACACCAACTCTGTCAGTCAGGCATCTCATTCCTAATGGAACAGCTACATCAGCACAAGATCTGCGAAAACAGAGTTGTGCCAGAGGACTAACAAAAAGCAAATGCTAAGAAGCAGTCTTCACCGAAGGGGAGTCTGGAACTGACTGGCTCGTCAGTCTGACTTGTCTTTCAAGAACAATAATGGCATAAAAATAGCAAGCAAGAGGGGCCTGACTTTCCACTGACCCCACCTCATGCAGCCATCAAGGAAGCGTGAACAGTTTCATTAATCTACACCATAGCCACTCTGCATTTGAGGATTGGCCCCTCAAGTGCATCTGGAGCACTACTGGGTATTTACAAAGAGCAGATCCTGCCAGATGAAACTGAGCACAACAGATTTACAGCAATTGCAGGCTAGTGGAAGAACTGCCGATGTTACATAGTTATAGTCTCATGAAATCTCTCAAAATGAATGCCAGTTGACTTGGATTTAACCAGTGTCTCATGGACATCCGGAGGAACCTAAGCCAAGGGTTACGTTATCAAAGCAGCAAACAGCTAAGGGCAACACAGCACAGCAGGAGCTGACATTGGCAAGAGGGGTCTGTTGCAGTAACACTGGGGCCACACTGGATCAGGATTTATTTTACATGTGGAAGAGTAAATGGTACAACCAAGAAACACAGCTAAGCTACTTGCACAGCCCCATTACCAAAGGGTCTGAAAATCCCATAATATTTAATTAATTTACCCTCAGGCATCCCTGTGTGATAAGGAAAAATTATTTCAAGAGAGAGAACTGAGGCACAAAGTGACATACCCAAGGTCACATGGGAAGTCAGTCAGTGGCAGAGAAGGAAATAGTAACTAGGTGAGCGTTTTAACCACCTGAACATCTTTCTTCTCCAGATGATACTAATTTAGGAAATACTAACTAGTGAGGGCAGATACAAAGGGGCTCATATCAGTGTGGGACTAATATTGCTACCAGCTCTGTACATGCAGATCCCCTTGTGAGACTGGGGCCATAAACCAGAACTGAGATCCCACTTGTCAAAATGAAGCTAATGTAGCTCTCAAGAGACTGAAGGTGGGGGTGGACCTGGATACAGCAGAACAGAATGAAGAGTGACACTGAACAGGCATCTAAACACCAACACTGTCATGAGGACTAGCCAGTCACTGCAATTTTCAGGGTGTAAACACAGGACCAGGGGAGAGCAGCCCCTCCCATTAGAACACCTATGTTGGGACAAGGTATCACACATGCAAGGCACAACGGTTAAGGAGGAAGAGGGACCACTTGCCAGAGGAAAGGGTCAAGGGAGGAGTCACCAAAGGAAATGAAGAAAGGGAAAAGTTGGACTGGACTTAAGGGGCTGTCCCAAGAGTAAATGCCATGCAGGTGGGCAAGGGAAGGGGTGAATGCTCCATTGCTTGGGATGCTTTAAGTGAGCCTGGGTGAAGCATCCGTGATTGTGTGGCAAGGAAGGATCCTGCACTGGCAGGAGTGGCGATGACCTAACAGGGCTTTTCCATTTCTAGACTCTATGATAAATTCAGCAAAGCAAGTCTCTACAAGACTCAGGGTCCTGGCATGGACCCAGGGTCCATCTGTCCCCAGCCTGTCTCCAATATTCAGAGGAAGACATTAAACACTCAGAATACACCTACATGTGCAATGCTTTGCCCCCAGGGCACAATTTCTTCTGACCTCATCTGGGAATTGGCTTCTACCCTGGAGCATGCAGCCTGGCCTGCATTCTAGCTGGGCTGTGCACAGATACAGTCCTTTGTGACTAGATTTCCACTTGCCATTCGCTTCCATTTTAAGCCAGATTTTGTCTTCCCGACCTTTCTGACGCTACATCGGGTTCCAACGAATTTATTCATCAGGGAAGACTAGAAAGAATCAGGCAAGGAACTTTAACATCACGATGTTCCAAAAATGTATCAATTTGCCTTACAACGTGTCCAAGACAGCTTGGCTCCATATGTATATTTTTTCTTTGGCTTTGCTGAGGAGAAATAACATTTCAGTATTATCTTTTCAGAGGTGAGGGGACATTGTGGGGAGAAATGACAAAGACGTGCAACTAAAAACATATCATGATAACCCACACAAAGTGTTGTGTCCACCTTTGAATATTTAGTCATGTTTTAACACGTGTTACTTAATATATGTTTCCTAACCTGATGGCATGCTGAAGTACAGACACAATACAAATGCTTGTATCTGGTTAATGCCAGAATTTACAAGCATGTTTGTCAATATTTGAACATTAACTTGTATTGAGATACATTATTCAAGTGTAACCATAAATTACTACAGGGTAGGTAGGGACACAATTAACCAGAGGTTTATGAACACAGTTACAAAAAGAGGTTATAAGATGCAATGAAAAAGAGAGAGACAGAGAGAAAGATAGAAATATAGTCCTTCCATTTCTTATTTTCTATTTACTGCTTAAAAGATTCTCTCAGCTGATGACTGTGTATTTTTCCCTTGATGAAGACACCTGAAATTCCTTATTGCTTACAGGCTTTTTCTGGACCCTGAAAAAAATCTTAATCTGATTCCTTATCCATTAGGCTGGAACAGAGAATTCCTCAAAGACGTGTGCATTTAAGAGTACAGGGTTTTCTTCCCTGTTTTTTGCCCTGTTCCCTGTGGACAGTGTGGCATGAGTCAGAAAGTGCTGTCTTTACATTGCTACAAATCAAAATTTAACAAGTTCAGATATTCCTTGTTTTTCAAGGTGGGAAGAAGGCAAATGCTACAACGGCTCAAAGCCAAGTCCTGCAGCAGGGAGTTCCACAGTTCAGTGTCCAAAACAAACCTAACCATCCCATCAATCAGCCAGCTAGTTCTCTTTATGCTTCTACAGCAAAAGTGGAATCCATGCCAAGGAGAGATGCCAGGGCTATGCTGTAAGTGCAGCAGCCTCCCTTCACCTGATGGTATCTAGCTCATTCCTAGCTTGGCTGAATGGTAAAAATGGGGGTGGTGGCATGCCAAAGGAGAAAGGGAGCGTCACCTGGTAGTTATAAGAGGAGACTGGAACCGAGAGTCCTGGATTCTATAACTAACTTCAATGGGCTCCATGACAAACCATTTAATTTTCTCTATGCCTTAGTTTAACCGTCTGCATACTGGGAATAAAGATATTAACCTACCTCCCAAAGGGGATTATGAGATGGTGTTTTGAACTCCTAGAAAAGGATTAAAGCTGGTGGTGAAAGACAGGGCATGACTAACTCATTCAGTGCAATGGAACAAGCATGGCTGTGCCTCCTCCTGATGGTGACCTTGCTGCTGAATAACTTTGCCTGCCACTTAACTACTAGTTGGAAATCACTTTCCATCTGGGTGTTGATCTCTCCATGTAGAAGCCCATCAGAGCACAGGCAGTCTTGAAATGATGCTCTGTTGATCCTGCTTATTTTCCTCATGGTTACAGATGCTTC